GGTCTCCACACAACCTTCTGTTCTCCAGACTGAACAGCTCCAACTCTCAGCCTGTCTTCATAGGGGAGATGCTCCAGTCCTCTTAGCAACTTTGTGGCCTCATCTGGCAGAAGATCTTGATCTCTCCTTGTTGCCGGGTGAAAGCTCAGCTGAGCTCAGAGTCTGGCTCAGTGCTGGGAGTCAGACAGCACCAGCTTTGCCCGAGGCACTCAGAGCAGCAGGGTCTGAAGTTACCACTCACCAGCATCGTGCTGTGCCAGGGCAGTGCTGAGAGGTGCTAAACTGGTAAAACACACCCCAAATTTGGCAGAGGCCGAGGAAGGGAGATGCCAGGGCAGGCAGGTCAGCACCCAGGGGCATGGAAAGCCCTGGGGTGTGGCACTGCCACCAGGAGCCCAGGCAGCACCAGCCCCTCCACACTTCCATCCACCACCACCTCTCACTGCCAGAGCTCTGGTTCAGAAATCTACTACAAACCTTTTGTGTTTGGAAACAACAGTTGTCAAATAAACCAAATATTTATCAAGGGAAACAGAAGGTATCCTATGATACTGCTCAGCAGTGCTCTGAGTACAGCCATTCAGCCAAGATTTCCAGCAGTGACTGGAGGTGTTTGCCTCAGGTTGTGTCAGCCCAAGCTGAGATGTCTCAAGCAAACCTGATTTTGAGAAACTATCTGGAAAAATCACAGCCCTTTGAAAGCATCTCTAACTGAGCACTTAAAGTCACTGCTCATCTTGGGAAAACTTAGTCTGCAAAGATGATTATTCTCCACAGCTTTAATTCCGAGTCCTTATATCTGCGATGCGTCAGTGCCTCTCTGCAAAGCTATTAATAGGTTTCGTTACAGCAGCACCATTTTTGTGTCATTCTGTTTAGCATTCATGTAAATTGGAGCCTGCATGGCAACTGCTCCACTGAGGAGAAAAAGCTACTGCATATAAAAATCTCCACAATTCTTAGCCAATGAAACTGGAGGTTTAGTAGACACACTATGAAGTCCAAAAGGGGGAAAGAGACCAGACTAACCCTTCTGTGCTCCTGCTCACTCCCTGGTGGAGATCACAGCAAACCAGCTGCAAACATTTCTCTTTTTCCTGTCTTCTTCTCTCCACCCCCCCAAGCTCTGGGTGCTATTTCATATGATAAAGGGGAAGCACCAAGAGGCACAGAACATACAGGACATTCTGGGAGTCAGCAGTAACAGGAAAGACATGGAAACTCAGCAGCATATTTGGAATTGTTTGACATAGCTGCAAATTTAAGACAGGTAACTATAACCTCCTCCTCTTCCTCCTCCTCCCCAGCCCTGCCTGGTTCTCTGCTGCCAGGGACCCTGTGCCACCACATCCCCTCCATTCACCTCCCACCTGGAGCACACTGCCATCCTTACTTTTCAGCTGAGTCCTCACAACACATGCCCTTGTTTGGACAGTGATTCAAGATTTCCCCTTCTGCAAACACCCAAGGCACTCCTGCAAGCATGCAAGGTGCCTGACTGTCAGGCTCTAAAACCCATGCCAAAAGTCCTGGTCATCACCTGGGAGGGGTGGATGACATTTCCCCTCTTTTCCTTCCCTGAAGGACAATCTGTGAAATATTTTAACAGATGAGGATTCTAAATTAAACACAAATTCAGTTATTTCTCCAAGCAAATTTTATTGTAGATATTGCAAAGGGCACAGTCTCCCCTACAAAAACACAAATTCACGGAGCTATACAACAGGGAGTTAAGCTGGAGAGTATTTTGCTCTTGCCCTACTTGTTTAGCAGCACAAATCAAGGGGAGGTTGCTTCCAGCAGCCAGACTGTAACAAAGACCAAAACCACTCAGCCTGCTTTGTAGATCATCATCATCTTTTTGCTACTGTTCATGCTGCAGTCTCTTTTGCACAGGTCCATTGAACCAGATATATCTGCTAAGGGCACATATGAGTGATCAAGACCAGCACTTTGCTGTGCAGTGCTGCACTGCTTCACACTGGCAGAACTTATGTCTGTCAACAGACAGGTTTCCATATACAGCAAAACTGCTCAAGTGAAACAAAAACACACAGGTCTTTCCAGAAGAAGAGTTGATAGAAAGATCATTTTTATCAAACTAGTAATGTTAGTCAATTTGTGAGATAGTATTTTTTGAACAAAGGCTTCAAAAGCAGCTTATCCAAATTACAATTGTAGTCAATAAGTCTGTGAGCCAGGCCCACCTAAAAACTAAGCAACACACGTGACAGGTTTCCCTGCACTTTCTTGTTATCTCCTAAAGCAAACCACATGTCATCAGGCTCTACAGGCTAGTAATTTCTAGGCTGATTCACTGATACAAATTTTATTTCACATACTTGTGTTCAGCAGCCAAAGAGTGTGTCATTTTATTAACTCCAGTATAATGGCAGCTGTACCAATTTATTGATCTTACACTTGCCAAAGCATTGTTCCACCTCCTGGCTGGAATCTGAAGGAACAGTTTGCCATAAACAAAACAAAAATGCCCTGTGTCACCAGACCAAAGGATTTGGAAAAGTGGTGGATTTTTATTTCTCCATAGGTACAGGACGAAGCATATAGGCTAGAACAAATCCCTCAAAAACCCAAAACCTTAACACACTAATGAAGCCTTTGATAGCAAAAGCTAAAACCAAAGTGGAGCCAATCCTCAGACTTTTTATTTTTAAATGAAGCTCTTCTCCCTTTGAGAGTATAATAAATGATAATACATAATAATAAACTCACACAATTTCTAGCAAGGTCATTGGGTTTGTTCCAAATAGCTCACTTCACTACCCATCAGATATGCATACTTGTTCACAGGGTTGTAAAAAGAAATGAAACAACCCAAATTATAAGACCACAAAAACATGATTCCTCTGATTTGACAAGTTTAATGTTTTTTTCCTTCCCCTATTCTTATTCAAGTAAACTGGGACTCTCAGCAGAAATTGTAATGACAGTGCAAGTGGCTCCTCCTGAGCTCAGTCTCTGTGTGACTTGGGTTGCACACAAAGGCTGTGCCAGTCACAGCACTCACATGTGAGGAGCTCTCCTGGGCTAAGGACACCACAACAGCATCAGCTATTGAGCCAACAGTGTGCACAGGTGGCCAAGAAGGTCAAAGGCATCTTGGCCTGGATCAAGATCAGTGTGGCACTGGAAGATATGGTTTAGGGTTTAGGGGTTACAGCAGTGACAGGTTAATGGTTGGCCTTGATGATGTTAAAGGTCTCTTCCAACCTTGATGATTCTATGAACACAAACTCTCTCACTGCCACATGGCCCACAACTTTTGCAGCCCAAAGCTACCTCAGCATACAGGGACCTGTTCAAAGGCTCAAGATAACCAAATGAAAAAGCAGTTTTGACTAGCTAAGGACTCCAGCTCAGTTTGCCAAGCAGAGGGGTATGGCCCCAGCACTGCTCCCTTCAGACAGCCCTTTTCAGTACAGCCTCATAGCCTGCCCTTATTCCACAGGCTAAACTGGGACCTCAGGCCACTCTCAAAAGGCACCGACGTCAGAGCCCTGCTGGAAGACAGCCTGGCCACCCCCTGCAGGAGGACTCTCCAGGTTTTTGGCATCCCTTGCTCTGGATCCCTTGCAATGCTTTGTCCTCCAGGCCCTGAATAACAGAAGGGCACGGGTGCTGCCTCTTGCTTCCTGGCACCCAAGGCCCTGCACACAGCAGAGCTCCAGGAGGTAGCCCTCTCCTGCAAAGGCTTTTCCAAGCACTTGGACATGATGATGGATGGCTGCATCAATACCTGCTTTGTTTTGCTTGGAGGAGGATTTCAGGCCATGCTCTGTCTCTCTTGCTTCCCCCCAACCCAAGCATCAGTATCACAGTCTCCTAACGATGCAAGTAAATGCAAATAAATCAGGTCACTCACTGTAGTGTTTCATCCCCTGGGAAACTGCAGTGGGCTCTGCTCAACTGCCATTTCTGTCTTGAAGGTACTCAATGTACTTTACAACTTAGCCCAAATTTTTCCTGTTTGACTTTCTAATATCAATTTACCCTGCAACAGAAACCCTGAAGTCACCCTGTAACTCAAGCTGCTCCAGTTTGGTATTTAGGAGTTTAGACGTTTGTGTGTCGGGTCTTGGCTTTGAACTTTGCCTTTCCAAATGACAGCAGAGACAGATAAAACCTGAGATTCTTACCATGTCCAAGCAAGGTGTTTTCAATGGTGGCTAATCCTTTAGTGAA